CTATTGCACATTCCTTGCATGTGGCTTCCATCCTTATCTCATGATCCAAAACGGCTGCTGGAGTTCCACCCATCACTTCTGAGATATAGGTTAGAGAACGAAAGAAAAGAAGAAAGGGGAAAAAATCAGACCTCTTCCCTCGCAAGTCCGTGTCTTTTAAGTGGCCTTTGGGAAAGATACATCTAGGGCTCCACTCACATTTCCCTGGATAGCATTTAGTTTTAGACCATGTCTAGTGTCGGGAGAGAGTGAGGATATTGTCTTTTATTCTGTGCAAACTGAGACAAGAAGGCAAGGCACAGCTAGGCAGCTGGCACATGGGCACATGTGTTCCTGATCCTCTGCCTCTGCTTGGTTTCTTTCTCAGAGCTTCCATGGTGCTGCAGACCGTGTCCCCTGCCTGTCCATGTCCTCACCTTCACACATCCTCCCCAGTCAGGTGCTTGTCTGTGGGGTCCCTTCTGTGACTGACCCATCACTGCATGATTTTCCAAACTCCTGGGTCTCTGTCTTCAGACATCTTGTTTTGACAACAGCAGTCTGTTTAAATGGCTCTCGGCTCTGCAGTAACCAAGGGTGCAGGCTCGGAACTTCGACATTTCCTGTCCTTGGGCTCTGTCTGGTAATAAAAGTATGTCAGAGCAGTCTGTGTTGGAGCAGACACAGGACATGTCCACCACCACCAATCAGGAAATACGACCTCCCAGGGAAGCACAGTTAGAGAAGGAGAGTCGTAAGCTACGCCTGGGCTCAGTTCCAGCCTGTCTCTCACAGCTGTGACATCATGGGCCTGTCACTCAACATCCCTGTACTGTTTCCTGTCTTCAAGGACTCTAACAGTTGCCTCATCCCGATGTGTTAATTTTTGCAAAGCTCTCTGCCCACTCCCAGGCTGATGGTGGGCATTGAACCTTAGTCAGGTGCTAATGTAAATTCTCTGTACATATTTAAATACTATCATGAATTCTCTGTGTGTATTTAAATACTAATGTGAATTCTCAGTGCCTATTTAAATACTCTTCTCCTATTCATCGACGACACAACTCTGTTGTCGTTGCAGTCGATGATGGAAACTTGCTCTCCTTGATTTAAAGTGCTAGGGACTGAGTACCCATGTCCCCTAAAGTCTTATGTTGAAACCACATAGCCAATGAGAGGATGGAGATTGGGCCTTAGGGAGGGTGATGGGGTCTCAGGATCATAGCCCTTTAAGGGGATCAGTGCCCTTATATCAGACATTCCAAGAAGCCCCCTTGATGCTTACACATGGTGGTAGCAGTGAGAAGCCATGAGGAAGAGGCCTCATCAGGTCTCAAACCTGCGTGTGCCTTCCTCTTGGCCTCATCACTTTCCAGAACTTCAAGAAATAAATGTCTGTACTTTTTATGAAATGTTGCGTCAGTGGTGTTCTGTGACAGAAATCCTCCCAGATTAAGACTTTGGGGTATCTTTGTAGGGTTTTGTTTTGGTTTTGTTTTTTTTTTTTTTCCATGTTGTCCTTTGCTAGGTGACTCTGCTGACTTTATAAAAGGCAGGGGGTTGGGCTTCCAAACACCTCCATCACTCTTTGTCTCAGAATCCTTTGATTCCTTTAAGCTTAGACAGCTCAAGGGTGCAGGCCTCAACGGTTTGATGTGACTGCATCCTTAGTCTGTAATTTCTTAATTAGCCTCACGTTTGGGGAGTGGTGTGGGATAGAGGTTTGGGATTTGTGTGTGTGCCGCTATTATGTGTCTGTCATCTTATCATTTTCAAAGGGCATATTCCATCATTTTACATTGTTTACTGATTCTTCTTCCATTTATGTAGAGCCTTCTGGGGTAAAATAGCACTTGTTCTAGTCAAGGTGTCCACTGACTAGATAGGTGGATGATTGCTAGGCAAGAGATAGGTGAGATAGATAAGATAAGGCAAGATAATTGATAGACAGACAGACAGACAGATAGATAGATCTATACATAGGTAGATAGATAGATCTATACATAGGTAGATAGATCTATAGATATGAAGATAGATCTATAGATATATTAATAGATAGATCTATAGGTAGGTAGGTAGATAGATAGATAGATAGATAGATAGATAGATAGATAGATAGATAGATAGAGATAGATAGATAGATCTATACATAGGTAGGTAGATCTATACATAGGTAGATAGATCTATATATATGAAGATCTATAGATATATTAATAGATAGATCTATAGGCAGATAAATAGATAGACAGACAGATAGATAGATAGACAGATCTTTACATAGATAGATGGTAGATAGGTAGATAGATAGATAGATAGATAGATAGATAGATAGATAGATAGATGATAAATGAATGTGTAGACAGACATAGATACATGATATATACACATGGATTCAAAGAAAAATGGACAGATGTTTACATACATAGATGGAAGGATGGATAGATAGATAAATAATTTATAGATGCAAAGGTAGACAGATGCATTGATAGACAGGTGATAGATGGACAGACAGGTGTGAGTGCTCTGTGTACCTTGACTGAAGTTTCCAATGGCCTTGTAGGAGAAGGGGCCACACAGCAACTGCTCTGCTCCTCTGGTACTTCCCAGATGAACCAAAGAAAATGAGGAAATCCCCAGGCTTCAGAGAAAGGGGAACTGGGAAGGAGAGGGGCCTGAGGGAGGACAGATGGTAAATGGAGCAGAGGCGGGGGGAGCACCAGTCTCTGCATGTG